GTTACACTCATTTTTAGTAAATGTTAGAACCTGTTCTATAAATTCCTAGCTATAACATTAAAACCAATCAGACGATATTGAAGTAAGTGAAGTTGATTACAGCGTTACAACACCTCGAGTTATTTCAACAATGTTTAATCAAATCGATGTTTGCACTCTCAAGAAGGAGACGCCGATGCTTGAGAGAGTCCAGAGCTGGAATAAAATATTCTCCGAGAGCATTCCTCTGATTTAGTATTGTTATCTTGATTACCCGTACGAGCTGCACGAAAAGTTGGCGTTAGTTAATTGCGTCTATCGCGGTTATCTGCTGCCGGTTTCCCCCCTTTCCCTTTCTCTGCGAATGTCTTTCCTGGAATGCGGTCCTCGATCTGAGCTCTGGAGGCGCTTAGGTGTATTCCTTGACACACTTAATTACGCGATGGGATATCCACGATATACGCGATATAGAGATCTCCGCCTTTTTGCCTGCCCGCCCGCCCAAGTAAATAGGTAATGACTCCTCGCATCTTCGGCTTCTTTTTTCACTTTTGCCGCCGCCGTTGACGCGTTGTTCGGGTGCATTTGCAGGACAAAAAGCGCGTATTATGCGTCAGCAGCAAACCCTTCGAGACAGGCGTTCGAGCGAAACGACGTGGAAGCGACGTGAGAAGACGAGACGAGAGAGACCCGAGGAAGTCTCGACGAAGACCGAGCTTCCGTTTGTCTTCTTTGTTTTACCTCCTGCTTTTTTTTTCTCGTCTCCTCTCTCTCTCTCTCTCTCTCTCTCTCTTTCTTCTTTGTGCAGCTCATTATGCTCCTTTTAGCGGACACGTGTGCCTTTCCGTCGAGCCGACGAATCTTTGCTTCAGTCGCGATTTCACAAAGACTTCGAAACGAATCGGGACACGCGAGATTAAAAGATTGTCCACGAGATCAAAAGAATGATATAATACTCTGCAATTATATCCTCTCCGATAAAAAGTTCAATTCAAAAATCAAAATCCAAAAAGAATAATCAGACAATACGTTGAAAGTATAATTTTATTCATTCGATGGATCGCCATTTCGAGGTATTTAATCCTGAGATCTCGCAAGGCTCCGGAAATATATCTTTTCGAAAAGGAGATGTCATCATCTTAAAGTATTTCATTCGAGATACTCGACGGAGACAATGTTCTGAACGATCTATTCTCCCGAGATAACATCACTCCGAAGCATTTCATTTCAAAATTGAAAGAATGGGGTCACACACGACGCGACAAGATTGGAACTACATTCTTTTAAAAACGTCATCGTTCCGAAATATATCCTCTATATCCTTACAAAATATGTTATTTTTTTACTGAAATGCACATTTCTTATTTTTTCATTTATTTGGTAATTTTGCAATAAAATGTTATATAAATAGGATGTCCCATAGGTAGAGTACAAATCGATACTAGTATTCCTTGTTAAAACATGTAGACATCTTATTCCTTTGGCAAAATTTCTGGAAATGCATTGTTTTCGAAGTACCTCATTTTTTAATATACCAAATATTAATATATTAATACATTTTTTAAGTCTTTGTGTCAAAGTTTTTGTAATCAAATCT